CTAGTAAATAGATTTTGGTAAGTTTCTGAAAGGGTTATTATAATTTTATAATTGCCTGCAGTAAGAGTGACTGCACTGAATAATCAAAAAGGCCCCTTTAGTTGTTCCTTCATTACGGAAGAACTTGTTGGGATTGGTTTGAACTGAAGCTATTAGCCAGCTCTGAATGAAACAATTGAATTTTTGTTGAATTTACTTTTGTTGCTTTTAAAAATTTTCTGCAAGGAGAAAAACTCCAAGGCTCATACTATTTTAAGATTATCTTTTAAGAAGAACAGAGAATAACAACTGTTTTTCAGTGTTGGAAGAAAAAGCAAGATGAAATAAGGATTCATAGGTACCCACCTGGCACATGAGCCCCTTGATTTTGTTATGGCACTAGTCTCACTGCATGTTTTAGAAGTTTTAAGACTGGCACTGTTTTCGTTGTTGTTCAAAGAATGATTAATGTAATTCGTGATGTATCATCTCAAAAATCCTTTTGATTTCAGGATGATTTTTTTCTTCTCCAAGGACACTGTCTCCTTTCAGCATTTTTTAATAAATATCTGAGAGTATACCTGACAGGCAGCCAGATAAAGGGAGGCTGTCAAATTTCTTCTCCACAATAGGAAACCCATTTATATGAAACACTCCTACAGAGTGACTGTGTACATTGCAGGAAAGGGTTGGAGGAAGATGACCTATCCTTTTGATTTATACCTACAGGGGTTCTGGCATCTTGCCGGACACTTGTTGCCATTAAATAATTATTAAATTGTCAGTATTCCAAGAAAAATAAAGCGTATACTCAATTTTACTGTGAAAATCATGCAAAATAGCTGTGCTGTTTGTATTTGATTTTGTTGGACTGCACAGTGCACTGAAATCACCAACTGTCAGATGTAATATTACAACCAAATGCTTGGAGGCTAGATGTATTCTGTCACTGTCATGCTGTGGATAATTTATACCAGTAATCCCCAGGTGCATCTGAGCAGCAAGACACACTGGATCTTATTCTATTGCCTCAGTGGAAAATGTACTTCAAGGTAACTTGGTGATAGTGCATTGATGGGATCCTGGGTGTTAAACCACCAGCAGCACTGCAAGGTACACACAGAGCATTGCCTCTGTTATTCCTCCAAACCCATCACCTAGCACTGCATCTTGCCTGTCAAGCACAGGGAAATATCATGAAAGTAGCTGCTGATGTAAAGATGGAGAAAGCAGGCTCAAAGACACAAGCCCTTGCAGTAAGCAGATTCAAGAGGGGTGAACCAATATGACTCTCTTTCAGACACGGTGATCTCCTCCTCTGCTGCTGACCCAGGCAAAGCTCCACCAGCTGCTGGCACTGCATTCATGCTAGCAAGCACATATTAACGCATGCAGGCAAGTGGTGTTTCAGTTCTGCGGGAGGATTCTGAGTTGCCCTTAAGCTCACGTCCTTTATCTGCAGCTTTTACTTTGCTGGCCATCTGAAGGAGCTGTATGCACAGGCTAAAGCAAGCGAGGATTTGTGCTTTCTAAGCCTGACAGAAAGTCTGCTAGACCAGATGTAGGCAAGGGAATGTATACAGAAAAAGAGAATTACTAAGAGATTGTGTCCTTAGTAATTCAAGTATATGCAAGGTCCAACTTTGTCACTTGATTTTAAGACCTCTTCCAAAGCCCACCGGGTCCAGGAAAACTCTCTGGGCTTTAATGTGTTTTAATAACTGGAGACTTCATTTAAACTATTAACAGCGTATCTCTAAATAAAATTAATTTTGTACTGTTTGTTCATGGGGTGATGAGTAACAAAACTGATACAAGATTTGGCCTGATCAAATATGCAGGTCTATTTACAGATTTAAAAAGGAAACCTTGCATAGCACCTGCCCACACATAATTCTGGCTCCTGGCACTACTTTAAGGAGTATTGAATTCCTTCCCACCCACACATCTTTACATAAGTAAAAGCTTAAACATCAATTCAGACTAAACATTTTTGAATGCAGAATCCCTTGAGTGCGATAAAAAGACACAGTGGTGTAAATGAAACTTTAATTTCCATCACGCTCAATAACTGATGTGCTAAAAACATAGATTTTAAAACAGTGCGTAGTTTATTTAAAGTTATTGATTCCCACTTCCAGTAAATTCCTGTGTTCCAGCAGCACATTGTGTTTCCACTGGAGGCTGAGACCACCACTAGATGTTATTCAGCAAGTGGAAAAAGTTTCTGTCCTGAATGGCTAACAAAAAGAGGTTCCATACAACATGACTTCCAACTTGCCATGTGAAGAAGGGCAACCTGGAGCAGAGCTTCCTAGCCTCTGGTGGGCCCAGGGGATTTATGCCACTCGACTATGAAAGCACGGTCTATCGAAAGTGGCTAGGAAAGGTAGCTCAGTATTTGTGTCACTGAGCAATGTAGTTATGTACAGTTTTTATAGAGATTGGCATCATCAGCTACAAATCCTTAGGAGTCCATTGATTCAGGGTAGGTTGAAAATCACCATGCAGGAGCATTAATGGAAGGGAAAATTAGATCTTAGCCACTGTCACTGATGTCCAGCCTGGCATAAAAAGAAAGCTAGTATGACAGTCTCTGATCATATCTAATAATAATGAGGGGCTAACAAAGAGGCAACTAATAGAGAAAGGTTTCCAAAAAATAGCTAATGATCAATTCCATTAGTTCAACATGACTTCAGGAGAAATCTTTAAACAGTCAGACTGGAGTTTGAGCTTGCCCCGGTGTTCAAAGGTCAAAAAGCTGATGGTTTTGTCCTTCCCTTCTGACTCCACCTGGTCTTTTGCAGGACAGCAGCAGTCTGCCATCTTTTTCACAAATTACGATGCGCTACTGTCTTAAAATAGCACAACTCATAACTTGTATTTGGATAATGCAGGACAATGAGAGGCCTGGGACATTTCCTGGCTGATCTCAAAGTGGCACCGACACCAGAACGGGAGGCAAAAACCACCACTGCCTGACAGCAGCAACAGAATTGCAGAAAACCCGGCAAAAATCAGCTTCTGCCACTATGGAAGAACCAGCTCAGCTTCATGACTTCACTGAGATAAAAGCGTCCGCAGCATTATTGGCAGGTCAGAGGGGAGGGCCACGTTCAGACTCCACTTTGCCAGGCTCAACATGGGAAGACCGCGCTCCAGGCCAGCCAGCTCTAACTGTGTCAACTTCCACGGTAATTCCCACTGTATCTCAGAGAAATATTTTCGTTACTCCAAAATCCAAACTGAACTACTGCAAAAAACAGTGTTGACCTCCTGGACCTAATTCATACTTCACACCATTTCACTCGCTGCAGCTGTACCAACTTTAAGGGAAGTTACACATTAGTATAGGAGAAAGGAAAAGTAGGTCAGTTGTCTTTAGAAAAACAACTTAAATCATAAGAGCCAGTTTATTAAACTGAACCTACATAAATATGAAAGAATGAGGATCTCAATTGGCTTCAGTTTATGAAGTTAGCACCTGAAGTCTGCATTTCAAAGGCATGTGCATTTTGCATAATTTTCCTGCTTCTCATCAACCCCTTCCCTTGTAATTTATGCTATATGCATCTTGAATTAAAGAAAAATAATAATTTTCAGGCACTGTTAACCATGAAATGGATTCTCCAGGTTTCACTGCATATTAATAAAATCACTTTTGCATCCATTCAAATCTATGCATAATTTTTATTATGCATTCCTTTTAGTTGAATTTTGCTACAGTATATATACCAACTCTGGATATGAATGTTTCTAGCATAAACATTCCCTTCCTATTTCAGCATATCTCATTGCATTAGGTAGAATTAAAATTGGGGGAAAAAAAAAAAAAAAGCCTTGTCAGGTCACAAACCAAAAGCTGGCAGTGCTTAGGGAGACACTATGATTAAGGTATTATACATAATAGGTGTTTGTTTGTTTGTTTGTTTTACTTTGTTCTGCAGTACATAGCATTATTCACCATCAAATAAAGGTTATTATGAAAGGCTGGCCAAGAGTTTGATCTGATAAATTAGTTCTTAGGTTCATAAGATGCTACTGGCTTCTACATCTCAGAACTGGGCATAAATGTGATAACAGAGTAACACACTAAAATGAAGCAGAACATCAGTCACCCAGTTGTTTTGCCCCCGTAAGCTGCATCTGTATTTCCTGCTTCAGCCAATGAATGCGGGTCTCCACGGATTGCCCTTATCACCATGCACAAAATTTTCCACAAATGAATAAAAAGATGGATAATTTATCAGGATTAGGGCTAAGACTGTGTTCACCTTTCAACAGGCTAAACCATGATTTGCTTACGCTTCTCTAAAAAAATCTTGAAAATGTTTTCTGCAAATCTACTCTCAAGTCAGTAACAGAGGCACATTAAAACTTGTTTATAGTTTATTCTGTAACAAGACAGCTGCTCCCAACTGGAGGAATTGAATTACAGATCTCAATCAGTATCTTTGCTAGAAACATCTCCGAGAACCTACACTTCTACTTGTTCTGCAGGGAATTTCCTATCCAGGGACTGAGCACAGAAGGGCACTAAAGACTTCATAAAAAAAGGAAGTATTATTCCTCCTTTTTAAAAATCTGTACTTCCTTTTTTTAGCTATCAAAAGGGAGTCTTCTCATAAGGCTTGCTCCAGGGAAAGATGATCCTTAAAATCATGAGAAACTGGCTGGGACCTGTGGGCTTGGCCAGGCCAACCTCCAACACAAGGCAGGTCAACCTTTGAAGTTAAGATTAAGTTGCTCAGGCTTTTGCCACTTGAATTTTGAAAATCACCAAAGATTGCAATTTCACAGCCTTTGCAGGTGACCTGTTCCCGGGCTTATTTCACCATAGGGATTTTTTTGCCTTCTTTTCTGCAAGTTGAACTCAATTCCTTCAACCAGAGCAGAGTTGAGAGGAATAATCATTTCCCTGGACCCGCAGGCTCCTTCCCCTTGTAACCATTTCCGTTAGTGCTTATCACAAATATATTCTCTCTTATATATATTTATATATTTAAATTAACACTCACCAGCCACTGCTGAGGTATTTCTGGCAGAGGCATTTGAGGAGGTGCTGGCAAACTGTTGGCAACTTCTTGCTTCTGTACATGTTCTTTTATTTCAAAACCTGTGGAAGAGCAACACGCATCGCTTAACACTTCAGTGGATACAAATGGCACATTTTTTCCACACGTGGACACCACATCTGACTGTCACACACTGAAATCTGGCACGCAAGGCTGCTCACAACCTAACTCCCAAGCGCAGTTACTGAGGCAGGACTGGAAGAATGCTGGGAATTTAGGAATTTAATCAAGTAGAACAAACACATACTTACTCTATATGATAATGACATATATGCTATTTGGATCAACAAATACCAGACAGAAAAAATTTACAGGAAATCATTCTGAACTGCCTATCCATCTGGAACTGAAAGAATTAAACAGCTACATGTTGCCAGGCGTCTACCATACAGATAAAACCACTTACGGGGGTAGATACCATACATGTGAATGTCTCAATGGCACCATACAGTGAATAGAACACGGTCAGCCTGGGGGCAGTATGTAGCTGGCTGCCTTTTACCAGCAGAGACAAGCAACAGTTATTCCCATGGCACATTTTGGATGGGTAAGGCCATCATGAAGAAATGAGTCCAAAACCACCTTTCATGCCAAAAGAGTGGGGAAGAGGGCAGAAGAGACCCTGCCTCTCTCCCTCCCCTGCAGCAGTGGTGACAGCTATTCAGCCAAGCCCACAGCGCCCGTGTACCCTGGGGTCCCTGCTGCCACCACCATCTCTGATCATGGAGCCGCGGTGCGAGTCTGCACAAGTCCTGGGAGATGCAGGATGCTACGACACCCCAACCTGGAGCACGCTGCTGCTGGGGGGTACATTGCCCTAACCAACTCACCATTAACAGAACTGCACAATGAGCATGTTTTCCCACTATTTCCTTCTTCCTCTCATTTTTTTAAAAATAATCCTATAGTTTTCCAGGTGAGTTTGAAAAGGGAAAAGGAACCGAATGTAAAAGCTGCTTTGAGGGTCCTTTGTATCACTATTGCATTTCCTTCCCAGGGGAAAAGAGAAGTGGCCCACTTGTTCTGAGTTTTTGGCACAGTAATTTAAATCCCAGTTGAACTCACTTCATAGGAACATGACATCGTTTATTTTTCTAAATCTCAAAAGGGAGATTAGGGTGCATCTCAATGTTCTGGCAAAAATTCAGTCAATGGATTGCACACTGCTTATACCCCTAGACTGAATTTAGCTCCTTGTGTTCAGTTTAGTTTTTAAATTATATATTTACATAGTCAAATGGATGTCTTTTGGTCAAGATCATATAATTCTTAAAAGTGTAATCAATGATGAAATGTTTCTTGTCATAATAACCCAGCCCCACTGGCTGTGAAGTCATGGATTGAAAAACAACACTGATAAAATAAACTGGCTCTAAGAGGCACAGATTCTTCTTTCTTCCTACAAATCAAGGGGGGGATTAGTCTTGGGAAACATTCAAAATTTTTTTTTTTAGTATAACTTTCACTTGTTCCTCTTTATGTAGGATGAATCCATATTATGACTGCTATCCATATCAAAGTCTCCCATGCTTTCCATAACAACCAGAAGTCAAATATGAAGGGCTTTTTACTGCAAAAAAAAGTATTCCAAGTGAATTCTATTGACTCTGCAAAACTAGTTTTTCCCCAGTTTTAAACTATGTGTGTTTTAGCAAGAACCTGCTCTAACATTTTTCTTCTACCCAATTACACAGCAAAGTCAGCATTATAGGTTTACGGCATCAGGTCCATTTAAGGAAAACAGGCAATGTTGACAGTCATATTAAATGACTAAATCCGCCAACAGTTCTTACTCCAAAATAAACTGTTTGTGTCTTTGTTTTTTAGAAGAAAGTCTGAGTTTCAGAAGGAAATGCCAAGTGTTTTGTTCAGACCTATGATCCATTGGGCATGCCAAGGCTCAGAAAGAAAAATGAAGTTTATACTTTTGCCAGCTATTCAGAGTAACCACTGGTTTGGACGTGGGGCAGGTCAAGGCCAGGCAGCTATGACCTGAAGAACACATCTGCCTGGCCCAGTTCTCTCTGGTTGATAGATATTAAATGAAGAAAACGGCTTTCATTTGGGAGACGGAACAAAACAAGGCAAAAGGTTTCTAAAGAATTCCCCAAGTAAGAACTTACTGAGCTTAAACTGCTAAAAGCCAAAACAAAACTAAAAGCCAACCAGCCCATTATAATAATTTCCACACCTTTACAAAGAAAAACATAATTGTTCATTTCCAGATGTTACAAAGAACCCAGCCAGTTCCCAGCTGCACAGATCCTTCATTACTGTTCCCCATTGATCTTAAATGCTTTGCTCCAGCAATTGAAATGTCCTTTGGATTCAGAGAGTTGATTCTTGCAAATGCGTATAAAGAGTCTGAACTCAGCATAGTCCTCAAGACTCTTAAACTGTGCCAGCGACCCAAGAACTCTCGTGGAGCTATGTGGGTGGAGTAAAACAACATTTTGAAAAACAGACTCCAAATGACAGTTCAGCTTAGTTACAGAGTACTGTGGGTTTATGCATCTTTTATTGCTTTTAATTTTAATGAAGAGATGAATAGTTTCAAAGGGATGGGAGTACTGAATGTTACAACTGATAAAAAAAGCAACAGGGTCAGCTCCATTAAAGTACATGACTCCCCGGGTAGTTTCACACACACTTGAAGCCAGCACGGGATGGCAGAGCTCCCAAAAAGGCAGCTACTCTCCTTCCCTGCCTTGTTCCTGTCCCTGCACCAACCTCTCCTTTGTGCCAGCGTAAGCATGTGTGTGGCCTCAGGTTGAACCAGACCAGGGAAATGACACTGGTTAGGACTAAACCAGCAAAAATAACCAAATAATGCTTGTGCTAGCAGAAAGGAAGATGCAATACATGATGAGCGAGAATGAGTAGCCTGGGGAGAGAAACAGGATGCTTTTTTTAGAGGCCATGCTGGCTTAAGTTCTATTTAAACTGCAGTTCCATAAAGTAGAGTTTATAGACATATAAAGCATAGTCCTGTGATCTCTTGCTTAACTGAACTATGGGATTTCCTTGAGTTAATTCTGGTTTGAACTAGAGCATATCTTTTAGCAAAATATTCTATCTTGATAAAATGCCAGCATTGGCATGCAGACCTTACAAAGCTCGTCCATTAGTTCATAGCTTCAGGTGTGCTTTATTTCCACTTTGAAACAAACATTCTGCCACTGCACACTGCTTTTTGTTGTGTAAGTCTAAAAGCTCATTCTCAGTCATTCCTTTCCTACATCGAGTTTAATTATGATACCTCATTTTGGATAATCTGAAGGCCTATTTCTGGATCCTTTAATCACTTTCATGACTTTTCTTTGAAATTTCTGAATTCTATCTTCTTGAATGTAGGCACTAGAAGTGGGTATAATGTTCAAGTCACAACTGCATTGAACCAAGCTCCACTGCTTAATATATGGATCTCGTATGGATCTTGTTAATGGATGGATCCTGTAATAGGATGTAATGGATCCTGTTATAGATCCTGTAATAGGCTTTAAAACCTAAACAGTAGGTGCTAAAGGTAGACAGCTATGGTCCTTGAGTCTTTTTATCCTTGGCCACATCTATAGTCATCAATTAAACATGCCTGGGAAGGTACTCTGGTACGGAGAAATCCATATCCATATGGTTAAAATCTCTCACCCCTCAAAACCAGGGTGGAGGGTGATGATTTTGAGCTGTCTGTTGGGAACAGATCTTTGCCCGAGCTAACTCCCAAATCATGCCTAGGAACTGATGGAGGAGATGAGTCAGCTCAGGCCAAACCCATGCCAAGGACTGCTCCATAATTTTAACAGTGTAAATAATTGAGTTCCTGGGTCCAGAAACACACCCAGCACTGTTTAATTTACTAGTAGAGCTGTAGCTTTTGTGTCCTGAAACACCATCCACAATCCAGAAGAAAAAGATATGACAACCCTTCCCTGTGCTTGCATAGTTGGCAACAGAATGTTATCCAACTTCTTGAGGAAGTCAAATGTTTTTCTTAATAAATCTAGTTGAAAAGATTACAAGAAGAACATGCAGTGTGAGATCAGCATTGTTGAGGTTCTTTTGAACTCCTGTAAAATACAGTTGTTTCTAAACGTATCAAATTGCAGGTTCTTGCCTACAGATTTTGGTTTTGGGGAGTTTGGTGTATTTTGATCAGCTTTTGGAGCGTGAAGCTTCCTTCCGCAATATGTGAAATTGGTACCTGCCTCCTTCTCTCAGTAGTAAAGTAAAAATAGTGACGGGTCTTTAAGAATGTCAAAATGGAAAGGAGGACAATCATTATTTTCAAGTTGATCTCCTTGGACTTGAATCCTGTGGCAAAAATTACTTCTTTACTGAAGGAGGGAAACACTGCATCAAACAAGACCATATTTTTTTTAGCATATTTTTCTTTAGGAGAAGAAACAAATCATGAGAAATACAGCTGCTCACAATGTGGCATTTTCGTCAACACACTCCGGTATTTTTCAAAAATCTAAACAGTGAGGGTTTATACTGACAGTATTTCTGTCAAATGTAGGAGAGACAGAGGTCTTATAGCCCAGATGCCTCTTTATAAAGAAAGGTGCTGTAAGGAAATTAAGCGTACTGTTAGGAAAAATAGTGAGCAATATTCTTCATATAAGCTGTGTGGAAAGGTTGCTGTACACAATGAATCATTTATATTGCATTCAGTTCCATAATCTTGATGGAGACAAAAGCGATTGTGCAATCAAAATGGTTTTAAATAGGAAGAAAAGGGGAAAGTGAATATAACTCTAATTGCAAAATGAAAACCAAACGTGCTGACAGCACGTTTCCTCCTAGCTCTGGCTTGACACTCCTGTATCAGTCATGCACCAGAGTCCGCCTCAATATCAAGCTTTTGATGGATTTGGGTCCTTTGACAGAGATGCAGCATGCAGCACCCACGCATCCACAAAACGGTGCTGTGGCCAGCACTCCCTGATGCAGTATTACTTTTCCATCAAAACTCATAAATAGCATTGCTGCCACAAATAAAATGAAGTAACCACTACATCAGCAGAAGTGAAAACATTCTATCTATCTAGCACATAGTTTTGTGTCTGGATTCACCCATGTGCGTCCAAGATACTTCCAGTATGCCTTTTGCTGTATTTTATTGCTGAACATGAAGGAAAGCATTCAGGAAAGTTACACTTTGGCTTCATCCTGTCTTTCTGTCTCGCTTCGATTTAGGGCTTGTCTTTAGCCCTTAAAGCTATTTCACTGAGCACAGACTTATTCTGTGCATTCTGCAAGTGAGAAAACCCGCCCCTGACACTGACCTTTTGATGACTGTATCCTCAGGAGAATGTTAGTTATTACTGCCTTTTTCTCCCTGACAGTGGAAGTTAGATATTCATGGTCCAGAAGTTCAAGAAACAGGCGCAGCTCAACTATTAACTCTTCCATGGCTGAAAGACAAAAAAAAAAAGAATTACTTTTTCTAAAAAGTCCCATTAGAAAAAAGATAGAGATAATTCTCATTTATTCACATTCACAGTTATTTTCTAGCATTTCTTCAAAATGTATGGTCTTCCCTGCTGGAAACAGACTATTCATTAGTAAAACCAACAGAATAGTCCATCAGTGAGCACTACTGGCTTTTGTAGCGATTATCTCGAAATCGATGCAGAAAAGACAGTTCTTTTCACATACCACATCATCAAGCCAGCACTAGACAAAAGTAAGCGCAGGAGTGGTGGCCATCTGCTTTTCTAGCAGTGCCACTCTGGTTCCTCTCCCTTTAACAAACAATTTCTAACTGCAGAACAAATTTAAAGTTTGAAAGAACTTCTCAACACATTGATATTTTCATAAATCTTTAGAGAAAGTCTCTCTTT